GTATAAGTTGGATTAATGCAGTCCATGTCTGGTTAAGGGAAAACAAGAGAACATGACTTTGGTTAGTTATATTTTTCTATCTGGTACTCATGATAAGGGGCAGGGGGGGGGGGGGGCAGGGCAATAGAGCCAAACCCCACCCGAGAGATATCGGAAGAGAAAAGTATTATCTCTAAGGTGGGGCTAGGCTCTGTCCCAGAGGCGCCTTGGGGAGGATATCCCCTGTAAAATACGTCTCTGCAACGATGGAACTCTCGAATTCGTTTCTGACATGCACATCTAAATATTTTTGCAAGTACGGCCAAGAAACCATGTTTTCTCAAGGCCATTTCATGTCCCCATCTTTCCTCCCAATATTGCATCAATTAGGATGCATGTGGCCATGACGCCCTGGTTGTTTTCAGCCAATTAAGTAAATCATCAAGAAAAGGAACGCGTTACAGTAACGCCATATACTTTTGCCATGAAAAAGGAACTAGTTACCAGTTCCGTTACCCTCCCCTGAAAAGTAACTCATTATCTTAAAAGTTACTGAAAAAAGTAATTAGTTACTGTAACGCGTTACTTTTACTACGTTACCGCTCAACACTGTATATATTTGTAATTCTGTTTGAATTCGGAAGTCTAGTTCCTCTTACCTTAAGGAAATTTATAGATAGGACGTAATAAATCTTCAACGAAGAAAAACAATTTATATGATGACATTAGGTGAATGTATCTATTTCGAAAAACTTTGCAACTCAACTAACTGTGAACTACTTTCTCAACTTTCTGAACTACTTAGTCGTTCGCCATTATCTCACTGGGAACTATCAATGTTTTTCCTCGACCCATGTGCCATTTATTATGAGAAGCGCGAAGAGAAGCTGCCTCACATCTATGACAAAGAATAAGAAACGGGAGAGTGCTCTCCCCGCTTGATTTTTCAGACAAACGTGGCTTTTATTGGGAACCAGAGATTCCAAAGAGAAACGAGACTTTTCAAAGGATGCGGAGACGACGAAGATCGCAGAGGGCCTCGACGACCCTCTGTTCGAGAACTTCGTCCTGGATGTTTCCGCTTATCATTTCCTGCATGAGACGATCGAGATGATCTGGAAGAAATCCTGCATCCCCGCTCTGGGCAGAAGGAACCGAGGCCAAGAATAATGGGACAGAAATGAGATATTGCAAGAGGGCATATACGAGGCACTCTTTGTAATCCCGTTCTAGCTCCGCTCTCGGGTAGTCCAGGCTGGATCCGCATTTCGCGGTCGTGTCGTTGAACACCCGGCAGTAAACGTCCAGAAGTGGGTCTGTGAGTTCACCCCGTTCGGAGGAAGTGCAAGACGTGAGAAGAAATGTGGCCAAGTCACAGGCCGGTCTTCGATAACTGACCTCTTGCCAATCGAGGATCATGACGCTTCCATCCTCTCTCCACATGAGGTTATTTTGCCACAAGTCTCCGTGCGTCAACGAGTGGATCCTTCCAGATCTGTTCCCGATCTCTGTCACCAGGGTCTCCGGGTGTTTATGTCCGAGTTTCTCGAGTGCTTCGGCAACGTCTAACTTGTCGGGATGCCGAGTTCGTAAAAATGTAGACCAGTCCCTAACCAAAGTCTCAGATGCTCGGAATCGACTCGGCTCGGGCTCTCGAAAAAAGAGAGAGAAACGGGAGAGAAACAGCAGATCCGTCAAGCACTAAGAGGGAAAGAGCATGGATGCGAGCCAATTCCTCGATCAGTTTTTCCACGTGACCCCGAGGGATGTGCTGCGGAAAAGGGATCATGGAATAGCCGCCGTTCCGTTCCACGTCTTCCAGAATCACCATGATCCCAGGTCGTGCGTAGAAAAGCCGAGGAACGGGGAGAAGAGGGGGAGGCTGGCTCGTGGAAGACAGTCAGGTGTGAAGGGCCACGAGGAAGTCCGAGTAGAAGAAGGCTTCCGTCTCGAACGTCTTCAACTGCTGGATTAGTTTTCGAACTCCTGGGTCTCTCGGGAGGGTCTTAGCAAACAAATGGATTTCTTCGTCTTTTCCACCCTGCCTCTTGCAAGACACTGTCAGATACGCGATCTGGCTCACGAAATCCACCTAGATATGTAAGAGGGTGGTGATTTCTTAGTAGATTCTCGATGGGCTTGGAAAGCTAGTTAGACCCATCCTTGCATTCCGCTTAACCAGGACCTACACCCAGTCAACAATTTTTCATCGGGCCATCGATACGTACATACGTACAGCCTTAATCGGGCCATCATTCGTTGGGATCGTTGGGCTACGCTAGGGCGAAGCTGGCTTATTTTCGGGCATGTCCTATTGGCCCTTCATCGGGCTAACTGTGGCCTCCCTGTTGCAAATCAGTATTTGCCCCACAATTAAGCCAATGATAAACCGACTTTGGAAAGTTTTCGAAAGAAAGTAAATTGGAAAAACTTATAAACTTGGTCTTAAACGCGTCTTCGAGAGATAACTATGCATTCATTGGCAAAATCCTCCCTTTGGCTTTTCTTCTTCATCTGGGCTGGATACAAATACGATGACAAAAAATGCACGGCTCATTCATCAAGAAGTAACCTCCTTCATGGACCAGACTGTTGGAAAATTCCCATAGAGTTCATAAGGCAAGGATTGAAATCTATCCACACAGTGTCCCTCATCCGATTCAAGGGAATCTGCCTTCTCGAAAGAAATCAGACTTATCTTGCACGTCATTATGATCCCCAATAGAAGAACATGATGATACCCATGAAACCCATGCCGTCAGTTGGATGTTAGAATCATCCTGCCACCAACCTCCAGGCCGAAATTTCTTGACATATTCCCGGGCTGTTACATCTTTAGAGAAATGTGTCGAAGTATTCCATTGTCTTCCTCTCAGATCATTGGGAAATCGTTGGGAGATGTGTCAAAGGTCCAGAGGACTCATTTCAGTAGAATCGGGGACTCGCCAATACAAACACTTAGACTCCATCTCGCGCCGATTTTAGGAATCTTCTCGACTACATTAGCTGCACATACGCCATTGCTGTCACGTGCCGCCCAGTAAAGAGATGATGGATGGCGCAACTACGGCGCAAGTGTGACTCGACCAACCCAATCACTCGCCGAAGATGAGCCAACTTCCCCAGCTACGGGCAACGATCGACCACGAAAATTTTTTGATTGGGATATAGCGCTCCCTTCAGCAGCACCGGCCATTTATCTACGATCCGACAAGCCCCGATAGTGGATAAGAAAGATGAATATGCTAGCGGTGGACTCAAGGCCCTAGTGAGCGCTGCTGTCCTCTCG